GAAAAAATGAAGACGAAAAACGRGGACCGACGACGCCCTTGTTGTCGGCACTGTATTATGTTTATGTGTTTATGTGGGTGTGCGTGTCTGGGTGGGTGTACAATACGTGTGCGCCGTATATTAATCTTTATACCCGCTGTGGAGTTATCGTTTCCTTCCGAAAACGATTTAAGCGCATGTGTTAAATTTTTATTGGTTCGCGTACCACGCGCGTCTGCAGCAGTGTACTATCACCAACCTGCTGCAGCCGAATGAAGACACTTACCACTTCGGCGGGCGTGCAACAGCTAGTTTTCGTTTGTATTATTGCAACCCCACCCATAACCACCCGAATATTTTACACCACCCACGAATGTAACTGAACTGTAAATTTAACGAACCTAACTTCTTTAATTCCTGGATAATAAACTATACGGGGCGATTCTCCCCAGCGAGTTAACAACTATTTTTTTTTTCATTTCCATACACTGCTCACACGAGTCGGAAAAAAAAATAAATGGAAAAATACAAAACAAAAGAACCTTTTTGAGTAAATGATTTGGATTATCATTAAGTTATCTTAAATTCTTAACAACAAAAAATGTTAAGATACAGATAAAGTTCTTATTTATGCATTATAAAAATTCGGTAAAGTTATATTGAAGATAGTATCTCATCTGTAACTTTTTAACATGCAAAACCGTTCTCATGGATAAATCACGAATAGTATCGGTTTGGCGTCCTCTTAAAAAGTTTTTACTTAAAATTAGAAAGACCCTTTTTTATTTTTATTGTTAATAACATTTTTTAAATTATTTTATGTAATATTTATAAATTAAAATTAAAATGAGTAGTTTCAATATTATTTATTTCAAAAAGTACCTATGTACATAATATTTAAAAATAAATAGTTACCTCTTATCTATGATTACAGGTTTAGAAAATTAGATGATTAGGATAATATTCAATAGTTATTACGTTAATTAAAATTTATTAGTTTATTAATAATAATTTATAWTTTTATAATGTCTCGAGTTTAATAAGAACTTAATATTATATTTATTAGTTTATTACATTACATCAAGTTTAACAACTCAAAAACTACTCATTCGAATTAGATGAGTTAACATTTAATAAAAACCACCCAATTAACAATTTACAGTAAATAAGGGTGGTGTAGTTCAGCTAGTATAAAAAAATAAAATTTTATCGCTACAGAATGGAATAGGTGCTTCTTAAATGGGACACTCAATCAAAAACAATTATTGGTAATTTTGACATGACGTGTGTATATTGATATTTAAATATATGAAATAAAAAAACCATTTTAGTAGGTATTTGGAAATATATAGTCTATAATATAAACTCAATAAGAYTGTAAAAATTAGAATTTGAATAAATGCACTATTAAAGGATAAAAGTGGGGTGACAATGCTTCATGAACCGCCCTGTTTATCATTACATAAAATATATGACTTTATTATTTAAATTCATCGTTGTCGAATATTTCTCGCGTACCTTAAACATCGTTTGATCGTGCGTAGCTATTAAGTAATTTTTTCTACCCTTATATTATTATGTGTAGATCTGTATATAAAATGCCGCAATTTAAATTTTCACCGCCCTTATGCCAGCGTAACGCGGGGTTGAAACCTTCTTCATTTTAAAACCACTTACGATATCTCACGACGGTATTGAGTTGACAGTTTTCATATACAACGGTAATTACTAATTAAGGTCCCAAAAGATTCGTGTAACTGGTGATATGTGAGCTCAACCACACATTACGGAAGTTAGGTACTTATATTGTATATATGTATAAATGTTTGAGATTTTGAACAAGGTCTGCTACGAACGTAGAGTGACGAACGATTCCTCTTTTTTTCAGATGGAAATTAACAATATATAAAACTGTCGCGGTCGAATCTAGTCTGGGTTCTCWTTTTATTGTTAAATATTTTGTATACATTATGAACAAATCAAAGACACATTTTTTGTCTTTATAAATAATTCAATTATACTATATAATTATATAATGTAATTTTATTATTATTYTCCATATTTTTTCTTTGCAACGGCCTATGTGTGTAATACCAATTCGTTTTTTTTTTTTTAATAGTATTGCGTTGTTGAATCATGAGTTATGTCAAATTATTCTACCTTACATTTTTTGAGTGAGGGCTAGCTATATCCCCATTCCCACTCTTATTACAATTGTTTGGTCGTTGGGTTTATACAGTGATCCATTTGATTACATATATATTACATTTAAACGAGTCCAAATTTTTCACCAATTTACATTAATATAATATTATTGACTGTGGCCGGTATGCGATGAGCCGATGAATATAATGCAATTAATATATATATGTATATTTATTATATTAATAAGGTTTTTAGAAATATGTGTACGTTGTACGTATATGATATTATTATATGGAAAAACGGTAGTGTACGCACATACGAATTTTCATGTTTAACACAACATTTCTCGAATACGCTTGTACTATAATATTTATACATTATGTATATACATTCCATACTGCCTGCAGTCATTGCAAAACCTAAAACCTCGTTTTTCGATTTACTACCACTATGTTATATTTATTATAATATATATATATAATATATATATATATTTAATACGGTGAAAATACGGTTCACTTGGCTATAGTATGGTACTGTTTACGGCTGCCCGTATTACGTGTACAGAATCTTTAACTTGATTTCAAATTAAATATACCATTGTACGTTTCAATCAATTTTGGAATTCTCGGTACGTCGTGGGTTTGAGTGTTATTACTATTATATTATAATGCGCAGTCTCAAAAACTTTTTAACTTTTAAGATTTACACACTTTATAATATTCATCACATAGTTTCACAAAGAATTCACGGATAAATAAAAAAAAAAAATATTTGAATAAATTCCGTGTTTATTATATAATGTATAAAACCTAAAATGTATACAATTCGTAAAATGTTATATATAAATATAATATAGGATATAAAAAATAAAATTAATAAAAATTTTAAAGATACCTTTGGTCAAAATAAATGAGAACCCTTAAGTTTGTTAAATTGGGAAGATAAATATTAGTATAGAGTAATAATATACTCATTAAAAAATATCGACTCAACTGGAGTAATAGGAACTTAAAACAATACAAGATCCAACAAGTGTAGTATCTTTAAAAATCGGGACCCAACTAGTGGTTTTAAATTCAAGACCCAAATCAGATGCAGCCAATAATATTTTATAACACAACATTATTATAACAACAAACAAAACCGTGGATGGTGGATGTGTTTAAAAAAATAATTGATCTCTCAGAGACGTTACAGGGTTGTTGATCAGAAGAAAAAAGGGGGAAAGGGAAAACCGAGTCTCGCTGCGGCTGTCCTCAAAATGTGTGTGCGCTTGATTATTGTAAATGGTTTATTTTTATTCCGTGATTTTCGAAACGCCACCGTGGCAAAAGTGTAATATTGATTTTGTGCCATTCTGCAAGTACATCGCGCTGGTAGACGGCAGTTTTCCGTCACGACCATCACTCGTCGACGACCGAGAATAATGGGCAGGGGTGGGTAGCAGACGGATGGTTGCGCGTTGGACCTATTACTTTGGAAAAAATGAAATAAAAAWCAAAAAAAGTAAAAAACAGAACGCCACCATACGAAGAAATGGACGCAATGGGGAGAGGGATAGAGTTTGAATTTCGACGCTAACAAAAGCCGTAAATAAATTTATATATACGATGAGGATTTATATTTTCCTTTTTCACAGCGTGCAGTGTATACCTATATACTTCGATGGAGAAATAATAACATAATTCCGGTTCATTTTCAAAAATAATATACCGGTGCTTGTACAAAATTTGAAAAAATACGATATACTTCAGTTATTATTATTATTATATAATATGCTACGGCTTTGGGTTYGTTTTTTTAAAGTTTTCTCAAATGCCCGGATGGAATTTTTATTAATTGAAATGAATGMCTGTGATTTCGCTCATCGTCGCATTCCGCCGTATATTATGGTGGATACAAAAATAAATATATGTTTATAGGTTCACTCGTATATTTTAAGTCCAGTGATTTTTTGTAAAGATAAACATTTAATATATCAACAATTATTAACGTTTCGGAAATATTGTTTTTACATGATTTGAAATCATTAAAAAATAAATGTTTTTTGTTAATATTTTTTTTTGAATAATTTTTGAATAGTTTGCAGAATATTTTTTTGAGAATTCTAACTTTTAAAAATTTTAATTAAAACATCATTGTTTTTAAACATTTTATTTATATAATAATTTATAATGGCGTTTATACATTTCGTGTTTWCGTTAAAAAAATCACCTGAAGTGTTCTTATTGCACTTATATTTTATATTACCTATACATAATACATTATGCACCTGCAATAAGACACGGTGTAATATACGGTACATATTATGTCTGCACGCGCGGTTATAATTTTCGAACAAGAAACTTTTTTTGCTCTTCATCATGAGCTTCCATAGCTCATAACTTTCACAGCGGAAAAATATTAAAACAAGCTATTGTGCGAYACGTCAGTGTGCACGTTTTATTGTTTTCGATTACTCGCGACACGACGCGTGCGTAATGTGCATTATAATGTAATGTGCATTATAATGTAATGTGCATATACACATAATACTATAATAGGTGCGCGCGGCTTAACGGCGGTATAACATCGCGAGAGTAAAAACGCAAACGACGATTTTTCTCGGAACTCAATATAGGTATATACCTCTCCGTAAGTTCGCAATTTATGATACCGTGTGGCTTGAAACCGAAGCGGCACATATGCATATGTATTTTTTAACTTATAACTTATAAGTATATATAAAATCGAACCAAATGATTTCACGTAAGACGCTTATATAATATAGTATATGACGTTATTGTATTTATATGCATGCATGTGTGTGTGTGTGTGTGTGTGTGTGTACGCGAGAACGGTGTAAAAAATGAGATTCAATATGTTTCACTCACCGTAAACCGCCTACACCAGACCGATAGCCATTTGATGTCTTTGATGCGTTTTCCGCCCGGCAACCGCAATATGATGTTCGAATTGTTGTGCGTCTGTAGCGGGGGCGGTTCCCTGTGAAACAATAACGATTCTATAAATTACACGCTATTGTTTTAATATCGTATGTATATGGGTATATTTAAGGAATTTGTTTTTAGTTTAGTTTAACTTTTAGTTTCCAAAAATCTATCAACAGCGGTCCCAAAATTTATGGCACGTTTAAGATTATTATTCGTCCTTGTGGTGACTTGGATGCTTAAGTTATATAACTATATTAGTCTAGTCATTACTATCCTATCCTTCAATATTTATAGTTCATCATAGTGATCAGGTAGTCTATATTAAAGGGTTTTTTATATTACACCCACAGAAAAATGTTGATGTACATAATGTTAGCGACAKTGATTCTAAATGACATCGAAACAAACTTGAATAGGAATAATGAAAAAGTGAAAAAAAAATTATGTATTGGAAGTCTATTGAAAACGTTATAAATTATGTTCAAATCATTGCAGCTGTTGTGACCTTAAAAATATTTGTTTTACAAGTAAAAATTAAAATTTTACAAAAATATCATATTATAATTTTATAATAAAGCAGTAAATTAAAGACACTAAAACAAAACAATTTTAACAAAAAATGTTTATATGATAGTAATATGTACTCATAGACATTATTATTAAATAACATATTACAATACGTCTATAGTGTATAAATATTTGGCCAGGACGAAGAAAATCACATAATATTGAATGAAATATAGTATAGACTATAGGTGGTATTATATTAGATATGAATCGACATTATTGTTTGCATAACCGATTCAAGTATGATAATATTATAATATAATACAATATATTTCAATATATATACTTCTATACTTGTACATATATATAATATATATAAATAAGGTTTTAGTTTGTGAAAACAAAAGCTGATATTCTAGGAAATACATTATTTTTTTTTAATTTTAAATTTATTTCTAGTTGAATAATCTCGAAATTCAAGTTGCATGATGATTGAAAATATAACCGCTTTTGCCTTAATTCTATATATAACGAATATATTATATTAAATAATATAATATATTTACATGACTCCAATTTATGTAATTCACAAGTAACACATAATACCTTTCATTTTTTTAATGTAATATATTATTATCGTAACTCATCGCACATAATACTCATGATGGCGAATTTGGATACTCCTCACATAGTCACACCTTTTGTGGATGGCATTTGGAAAAAGTTTGTCAATTGGCAAAGAAAAATTGGCATAGATTTTTATTAKATAGTTCTTTAAATAAACTGTTACCCTTATAAGGTTACTGGAAAAAAACCCACTTCAGTGGTGTAACAAAATTGTCCGTATATGCCACTATATTTTAATTATATTTGAATAGTGATATGCATTCAAAATAATATTGTTATAATAATAAATTAGAATTATATTACAATTTCAAATAAGTAATATACAATCTGTATCAATTGAGACAATAAGCATAATATATAGTCTAAAATTAAAAAAAAAAAAAAACATGAATATATTATTTGAAGAAAGAAGCCTCCCAACGGTGACACTTTTAATTGAGGAAAATTCAGATACGGAACAATAAATAAACGGAGGTCTAGATTGAACGATATCATATTATTAAAGTTCTGAATAATTAGTTTTATTGTCGAAAATTCTTATTAAAAAAAAAAAAATCAAACTGAATAGTTTCACAATATTATGTTGTAATAAATATAATATTATCTAATGTGCAAAATATCGATATCCTGACGACAAGCTTTCAACACGAAGCATTTTATCTCCCCCCTCCACTGGATGAAATGGCAGCCTAACTGAATTTATACATTTTATTTTTATTAGTAAGATGAACCCGAGTGGAGTTATTTTTTAACCGCGAAAAACACTTACCTATGTAAAATAGTGTGTATTCACCATAACGTAAGACACGTTCAAGAAATCGCTCTACATATACATTATGCACGTAGGTACCACTTATTTGGGTAACCGAATAAAATTATAATAATATATTATATTTGCGTATTGGGTTTACAGAATAATTCGTCACGGCGCAGACTTGRTAATATATATGCCTGTATACACTATATATAAATCCACGTTAAACAAATCGATCGAAATTCAATATACATATTATATCGTGTGCAAGTATGCGTTAACGGTAATTGTATTTAAACTAATATAAGAACTAGAACTACAACAATGATGAGGGTGAGCGAAATGCCAAGAATACGAAAAGTGTAAAGAACTGTAGCTGCTTCTATAATAGGTATCTATAATAGAAAGTGAGTGTCTAATAAATATGAAACCATCAGAATTTTTCCAAATATTGTACGTCAATAATAATAATTATTTATTAACAATCTATATTACCTACATTATGTATTAGATAATAATATGTACTTATACTTAACTATATAATATATATAGTTACTATAGGTTCTTGTGTTACTACTGTTGGAATACACACACACGATTAGAATACAAAAAGAAGTTTAGAAATCAATTACAGCCGATTCTTGTGGATAACTTGAATTTCAATGAGTACAAAAATAAATTCTTATATTTTTTTTTGCAAAGCAAATCAGTACACACTATACCTTTCACATTTAGGCAAGCCCTTTTTCCTGCAAATGTATTTCTTTAGGACATCCTTATCTCTTCCTAGCCAACAGTAAGCTACCTTTGTCTAACACTTGACCAAGTTTTAACTCTACATTTATGTGAAATCCCTAAAAAATCAGTTATGCATGATTAAATATTTGATTGGTAACAAAGTCACCCTCATTAATATCATACTCCCCATGTACAAAACGTAAGTCTTATTAAAACCCATTTAGGCCTCCAGCTAATTCCTAAAAAGTTTAATCTAAATAAAATACAATATTTTCAAAACATGACTTAAAAAAAATTGGTAAATGCTTTTAAAAACAATTCACGGCAAAGCTAAATGTTTCAGAAATGTTATAACTGTCTATCTTATCATTAAAATATACTCATGAAGAATTTATCATACCTCACATTTAAAGAGGGCAAGAAAAAAAATAAGTTATCGATCGTCAACTGTATTAAATAAACTGTATTAAGCATACTCAAACCATCTTTAAATTATGGATATATTATACTCAAAGTTTGATTTTCGGAATTTCAAAATGTAGTTTAAAGACGATAAATTAGAATAAATACATTTTTACAACATTGAAGGAATATCTTGTGGCGTTCCAAACTTTGGTTTTTTCAAGTGCGAGCTTAGAAGATTTTTCTGAAATTGTTTTCGTATTGTAATCAATTTTTAGACGAAAAATGTCATAGTTATTCTAATACATTTAAGTTAAAATCAAATTAAATACTATACCTAGGCGTATCGAATTAAGACAATTTAATTCATTATTTCAAACGTTTGTTAGATTTTAATTCTTATTATTTACCTTAATACTTAATTTTCTGATGACTATATTATTTTAAAATATTTGAAACTTGTGATAGCATGCTCATAAATTCTAACAAAATTTAAATCTTATAAATAAAAAAAAAATAAATATTTTAATTACATTCATAKTAGTAATACATAATTTCACAATGTTTGATTGTTTCAGATTAATAATGATTTATTCACTATTCATATAATCATTTTAGTAACTATACATTTTATATACAGCCTCCTACAAAACTACAAAAGAACGATTAAAATACAGTGACTTTGCATATTGTATATTATATAATATATTACATAACTAGCTTCCGTTAAAAGCATTAACTTTTATGGAGTGCTATTAATCCTGTTGAATTTTAACGAGAAACACACGTTTTAATTATTCAAGAAATCCCCTATCTTAAATTGCGGTTTTTAGAAGTTTATGAAAATTAAAATCTAGTTGTTAATAATCATATAATTATTAAATTATTATAATTTTATATTTTGTCACCTTCTTTAAATTAAAACCATTTCGCAAAACATTAAGTGATAAAGGTACTCACACTGCCGGATAGTCCTCAGGATATGGAATGGTAAATCCGTCCGGAGAAATTCTTGATGATTTCCCAGCCCAAAAATAAGCAGCTGCAACGAAAATACAAAACACAGAAGTATTAAAAATTATGTAAAATATTATTATTTTTGTTCATCAATTAATGTTGAATTCAATAATATTGTTACATATAATGTAACATTGACATAATTATGAATTAATTGTATAATATAAGAAACATTAGGATATCACGTAAGGCCGTTTAAATTCTATTGACATGATATAATACGAAAATTACTAAGGAACTGTTCAAATAGCATCTTTTTGAGTTTTCAGAATATTACAATATAGTTGGGGAAGTTATAAAATTGCAATCATCTATTGACCTTTGATCATTTTCTGCTGTTCAAATTATATGTAGTTTAATATCTATGTATACGGTGTAAAGACGTACGTTTATGTGCGATGTAAATTCTTTCGATAATCGATTTTTAAATATTGAAATTCTCAGATTCTTTGCTTTAAAAAATGTACGAAAAAAAGTTAAAATATTTTTAAAAAAAACTAAAATTATATTTTTTTTCAAAATGTTGTTATGTATTTTCTTTGAATTATGTTTAAAAAAATGTATCTACTTTTTGAAATAATGATCGTTTAGTTTTAAAAATATCACATCACACGATTCACCCTATAAAATTATACTTATACTCATATAGGTTTTAAGTAGGTACATCAAATCATGCATATAAAACCTGAAGACATTCGATATTCACCCACCTGGCCCAGCAACTAATGAGTACAATAATGCAATGTGCATGTATTTATACGCCAATAAGTCAACAAGTGACAATAACAGCGCGTCGTCAGTAAAAAATAATGAATGGATGCTTTGCACAATAGAAAGGGTGACCTATTCCATTCACGCAAATAACACGACCCGTAATCACCGTTGCACATAATACACATTATTAGTGCCACACATCTACGATTAGGTATGACCGCGGCAACGATTTTTGCATCATACAGAGGGGTTCAAAAGGCTTCACACGACTACGAATTGATGTGGGTAGATCTTAAACTGCATGACGTACCTATAATAGGTAAACGACTTATAATTAGACCGTTGCACTATAGAGATCGGATAGTGGAGTTTGTTTCCGTCGTATTTTTTTTTCATTTTCGTTGCTGATAAATGTACAATAAAAAAATAAAAATTTATTTTAAATACCACAATATAAGATGATGTATTTTGTTTGGGCAGTGGGATCATATTATATTGAACGTTAAAGCTTAACACGTTATGTAACACACTGTGTAAACTTGATTGTATTTTGATTGAATATTTATTTCTTCAGTCCATTCCTGCAGCTGTATCATCATTTTTAAAATAAATATAATTTTTTGAAATCTAATCAAGATTGTGAACGGTGATTTGGTGATTATTTGATAAATATACCACTGTCTGCTTACTAATAGTATCGAGAACAACGCTTAACATGTTTCGAGTATACAACAGCACTTATGCATATGCATAAGTTTTAAAACCGACACTGTTTAATTTCGTGATTTAATTAAAAATCAGTTATTACTGTTCCGACATAGATATAATACGAAGTGGTTTCATAATCAAATTTTAGAATACAATTATAATAATCCCTGTAAACACGAAACGTGCATATTACTATTGTTATTATATTACTCGTGAGTATAATATTTTGTATACCACAGACACTAAAACCATGTTCAATGAAACCTAATGTCTAATGCGTGTCACAGTGTAACACACTCACGCGCCTGTTGTTCTATAGAAATACTCGTATTATCATAATATGCATATTTTGTTTTTACTTGGTTTGAAATAAAGTCAATAGTATACCTACTACAATAATGCATTCGCGGTGGTACCATGACATTAATGTATTACATTATATTACGTCATAAATTATGTTATAAATAAATAAATTTGATCAAGTCGAACCGAAGAAAGATCCACGTGCTCTAAAAATATTAAATATCGCATGAATATTATTTAACATATAATAAAGTACATGAAATAAACTTATTAAAAAATGGAGAAGTTTTGTTTTTCGTATTCATAACAGAAATTCTCACTAAATGGACGCAAAAAAAAAATATATACAAACAGAAAACGCAATTGGAAAAAATCAATTTTGACGTTGCTTGCTTGACTCAAATAATAATGTGTTTTATATAATATACGTATAATACCTATTTTAATTTTAAAATAATATTATACAGTAACGATAAGACTCATGATATTTTGGTATGCCTTAATAACTTTAAATTAAGTAGGTACGTTATTACAGTGAAATATCTATAAACAAAATTTAAATTAACAATATTTTCTGTAAAACGAATATTTTTTTTAAAAAACAAACTAAATTAGAAATTCAATTATTTAATTTTATATAACGAAATTCTATGACATGAATATTTTTGGTGCCCTTGAGACTTTGTAATATAGAAGCTTCGCTGTATAATAATGTAGGTACTAGTCGCCATTTCCACCCACAATTTTTCTTTAATTATAATATGGATTTATTTAAATTGTGATATATATATTTTTATTTTTATTTTTTTTTGAAGTGACTTGATTTGACTATATTTTCTAATTATTGAATATTTTACAGCGTTTAAGAAGTATATACTATGGTCATTACAGGTCATATATACGTTTTTTTTCAACTCAGTATATTACGACTATTATACTCGTATTTACTTATAATAATTATATAGCAAATATTTTTTATGTATATTTTAATTTGTATAAATGGAAATTTGAAAGAGTAATTTTAAGTTTTTAACTTTTCATGACGTAGTAAGTCTAAAATATATGGAGTTAAAATGCTTTAAGAATATTGATCCAATAATTAATATTGAAATAATTATATTTTATAATTTGTACATATTATGGTCTGAAAATAATTTTATAATTGTACTAAAATATATAACATCCAATGTATAATCTATATAACAATACATATTGTTAATATTATTGTCTATATGTAAAATTACGATCGAGAACATTATTATATCCTTAGTTGATACATTAAGTTCAATAATCCAGAATTTATTTGTTAGAATTTCTATTTAAATTCATCAAAAATGCACTTTCTTCACAATTATTTGCAATGATAAACGGAGGATCTCATTTGAATAATAGTAGTTTGTAATGCTACAAGCCCACCAAGACACTTCTTAAATGTTATAAATAATCTAAATAATTAAAAAAGAACCTAAGCATAAAGGTTCGTAAAATAATAATTTGAATAAATGAATTGTTACTATTGTTACTAACGTGTAAAAGGGTGGTGAGCATATCATTGGTTAGATCACCCAGTGAATTTTATACAAATATACCTATATAATATGCTATATGGCTATATTAAGTGCGTATTCGGGCGTCTTAAACAGGATCTGATAGGACAGACGTCGTCTGATACGAATTATCTAAGTTCAAATGCCTAAAGTTCGATCTATTTATATCATATTATTTCATATTATATACTTACTCGGGCCAATACCATCGTAGAAAAATTCCCGGATGAAAAGCGTGTTTTCGTCTACTGCGTACACGGTTCCACGGACACCATGAGCGATGCCCTTAATGTACCCAATGTATCTTCCGTAATTGTCATCCAACACTCCTGCGTCGCCTGAAAAACCATTTATACACATTATAGGCGTACATAAAAAATGGTACTGGTTTTTACGGTGAARAAATTTGTTAAAATGAAACTCAACGTATATTTACACTGGAAAAAATTTAATCAATTGAAACAATTTTATAGTTTACTTTGTTGCAGGTAAAGCATGATATGTGCATATATGTACATATTTGACATGAAAGTAATATCGTACCGTGGATATACAAGACTACCTAGGTCTAAGGGGGTATACAGGGTGATTCTTTTTATCAAACAACACTCATTATCTCAAAAACTATTGACTTTTTTCAAATTTTTTTTTTTCTTCAAAATTTTAGAACCATCTTGTTCTAGAACTATATATTTTTTAATATTTTCACCTTTATATTTATCAGGTTAACCATTATCAACTTTTGATTTTCAAATGACAACCTATACTTAAAATTTCATAAACTAAAAAGGCTATTTTTTCAATGAATTTTCACGTTTAAATTTCATTTTTCGTTAATCCGTTTACAAGATATAGCTTCCCAAAGTTGGGTGGTTTTGGGTGGTGTTTGTGTGTTATAGRTRTATGTTAGGTGGTATTTAMAYACAAACAMCATATAAGTGTTGTTTGATAAAAGAATCACCCTGTATACTAAGTTCCTAAACGATAAAAAACAGGTACGTATGTTGGTTCCTACACAGTGGAAAAAAGACTACGTGTATAAATATGAATATAAAAGAATTTTCACCAATATATGATGATTATGGAGTATGAAAAAAATCGCATGACGCATTTTCACAAATAAATATATAATTATTAAATTATTATACTCGTAGTAAAATATTGTTTTTTATTATTGCATTTTTTGATGTCTGCGCTAACCATATAATAATTGCGCTGAAATATAATATATATTTATGCAATACATAAAATAACTTTATCAATAACCGAAAAAACCCAACATTTTATGAATTACTGATAAATACCATAATATAATACAATGCTCTCGAAACCTTAGGTACATGTTATAAATAATAAAAAAAAAATAATAATTTATAATGTCCATCGTTTGATTTTTGCGTAACAAAATAAAATATAATGGGTCTACCTGCACGGTGTACACAACTATATATATATATATATAAATAGTAATAATTACTAAGTACTAACTATAACAAAAAAAAATGAATAGCATATGAATTGCAAAATGTTTTATAGAAAAAAGCCAATGCAAAAACTATAATTATTATTATACCATACGATTTTACCATACTATATAGATTATGTAAGTTTTACCATTATTATACTGAGCAATTACATAAAACCATAATGTAAGTTATATACCATTTTAAATTATAATCATATTATGCGTATTTTAATCACTGATAAAAAAAATACTATACACACTTTCAATTTTATGTTAGTCTATGTTTTAATATGCTGATGTGCCATGTATAATACCATTCTAGTTGTAATAATAGTAAGCCTGTTTTGTTATGAGAGCACGTTGGCGGTATATGATCAAATCGATCGTATTTGGTGTCACAATAACTATAGAAATAATAATAAGCGGCAAAAAAACGTAATATTAATCTACAAAAATAACGATGTTTCAATATAATCTATTCGACAACAACGCGTGTTCTATATTTCAGTTACGCACGAACGACTTCCGCCGTCAAATGTAAGTAGTAAGTATACTAAATATATAAATATGTAATGTAATAGTACGCTATAGGGTGTGAGCATGTAACCAGGATTTTATTAAGGGGGCAGTGTCTTAATTGAACATTTCATTCTAACTTGAGGGGGGGGGGTCAGTGTTCACATGGTCTTATATATAATATAATATATTATTGTTATTTTATCATTATCTTATACATAGGTATTTTTGAATTATATGCCCTGTAACAAGAGTGATGTATGAAAACTACGCGGATTACTGCTGCCAGAACGCACAGTATAAAATATGTAGAAACCGTGCTAATGGCGCTAAGGCTGAATTCGAAGATTTAAAAAAAAAAAACAATTGTCATTCGGTTGATCAGATAACATATGGTAAGAAAGTAGGTAAATAAGAAAAAAAAAGTATTTTTACTATTAAACTTATCTAATAATATGCAAATACACAAAAGACGCAATAGTCATCATTGCATGCAAGGGTGATGAAATATGAGCTATTATATTTGACGGGTTATATTAATCGCGATGCGAGACCTCCGTATCTTAACGACCTATTACAGGTGTATTACTCGAGGAAAATAATATTATATATGCTCCAGATGCTGAAGGAAAATTCGTAAACCTAAGTCGATGACTGTAAGCCAACCATTCGTGTACAACCGAATCAAAGTCACTACTATATAATATGATGTCTATAATATACTTATATACACTACGGTTTTGTATATTGTTATACCGTCAGTGAACTTCATATAATAATTATAATACATATATGTATATATTATATACGATCTGACGCTTCATTGTCATCGAATAAAGGTGCTGCACCCGATTCATTTGTTTGAAGAACACAATGCAGTGAAATAATAATATATATATTATATTATTATTTAACGCCAACACAAACGCCGTCGTATCATAATAATAGACATTTGACGGAGAACGCTGTCGAAAAACAAAAAAAACGACCACTCTGTATACTAAGTAAGTACGCGCTCGATGCGACAGGGTAGTAAATACACATACGCGCGTGTACGTACATATATATAATATATTATCGTCGTCGTTTTCAATTTGCTAATGAGTCRAATATTATTTCGACGGAGAGATAATATACATATATACACGCCGCGCCGTCGGAGTAAAGGGTTGTTGTAGGAGACGAAAGGGGGAGGGTCGGCCGATGTTGGGCGCGTGCGCGCGTGCGGGGTCGTCCGGCGGCGTGCTAGTCGGGTAGAGCTGCAGGTTTCGCGTCGCGTCTTCATTACTCATTAATACTCAACGCCGGTCGCGCGGCAGCAGTCCCACCGTTCGCGCCACCGGATGTAATATATCATTAAAATAATATGTCTGTGTATATTATTATATACAGGTACACCTTGTTCATCCACTTCCTGTGGAGCACTGCACCAGTGTAAATCACCTGCGAACATCACTCGCGAGAAGTTTCATCGATTACGATAGCGACGACATCAGCGGCACCCGCTTTATTACTATTATTATGGCTATATCATATAAACTCTTTCAATCTCATCTCTGACAACCGTCTCGTCGCTGTCATCATTATCGTCGGCTTCGTTTTGCAAATAAACTGTGCCTAAAGTAAATCTATCCCTTTTTGCCTACATCTTTCCCCTTCCTTCATCCGGCACCGTTGTCGGTACACAATAAGCCTCCGTCGACCCGTCAACAGCGATCGTCGCATTCGCGTCTCATTAACTGCCGTACTGCTGCAACAGAGAGGCTTTCCCTTTTTCTCAGTAGATTTTAGTGTATAGCACCCGAACATTTTTTATCGAATTTAGCGACGATAGGCGTATTAATTTACCCGCCTCCAAATAGTTAGTCACTTATTAACATGTTATTTTTAATCAACGTAGGTATAACACCAAAATATTGTCGAAAATGCATCACTCAGGTAATTTTAATCTAATGCTGAATGATTTATAAAAAATTTATATCTAATAAAGAGTCATGTGCCTGTATTGGGACTAAAGGATCTGCTTACATCTATACACGTTTTATTTTGCTTAATAGATTTCTTTCAACATAGGTTGTGAACTTGTGAACTACATCATTATATGAAATTATTATTATATTTTCAAATATTTTTAGTGCATTTTTAAAGATCGTTTAATTTTGTGAATACGTTTCATGATTTTTGGAGCATTTTTGAGAATTAATAAAATGTTTAACAGTAATTTAATTTCGTATGACGTATAGCTACATTGAAAATAAAAATATTTATTTGAGATTTTAATCATGTAACTGTGACATGAATTAATGGCTATTATTATTATTTATTTTCATTCTATACCTTGCAGTATACCCTATTAGTTTTATAATACTGTACTATTAATTTTTTTTTTTATCGATTTAAACTTTAAAGTGAATTTTAGATATTATTATGAAACGTAGATGATTTTATTTTATTATTAAGTGAATAAATGCATACATATCAATTCTTTTTAACTTCTTTTAATGGTGACATATAATTTTAATTSTTTATTCTAAAGCAGAATATTTTTTGGAGTACCTTCTTCAATGTATATAAAAATTCAAATTTTTAACAAGTAGTTTATGACCTATAACTCTTATAACTTATAAGTATTTAACGGTTTGTTGAGAGAAGACGAGTAGTAACCCCACAAAATATATCTCCATTCCACTAATTTAAACCTTATCTACTTATGATGGTTTAAAATTTGATTTTTATAAATCGAAATATAGTGAATAATATTGTGCTCCAAAATATGAAATTAAAAATCTATTATGTTATCATTTAAAAGAGTGACTACTTGCAGTTAAGTGAAATAATTATTCTATATCAACCTATTTAATATTACAATATAACACATAGGTATTTAGTTAATTTTTTTTCTTTTAAGTAGGTACTTGCTAACTGATAGTTAACAGTTTGCTCCACAGATTATTCATGTGAAACTATTATTATTTACCTGCATGTTCCAAATGTACCCGTATTTTTTAGATAACAGATGATAAAATATATCTTAATAAAAAGAGGTACTTCAACACCATTATACATTTTTGTTTACAAATAAAATATCTTAGGCACGAGAAGATGTTTTTGTTGGAAACTTGTTTTCGTTGACAGATCGCTTTTCTTCTGGTAAATAGCTGCCGTTATTAATTACGTTATTCTAGCGATGTGATTATTACGTACACCGAAACAATACGCGGACAATACTATGAAACGACTGTTTCAGAACAATGCAAACGAGATTTACTTTTTGGGACACACAATTAGTAGTTGTTAATTAATAATTACGTAGTATACGCATAATATAAAATAATTGTATTATTATATAACCAACAT